GAACCTTACCTAAACCAATAATTATGATTGTGTGTTTCTTTCTCTGGCTATATCCAGTTATATGAGTGGAAGCAAAAAATTAGATTGACCCAGGATGGGAGTTTTGCTAAGCAAACTCATAAAGTGAGAAAAGGACGACTGTACAGAAGGTATATTTAAGGTAGTGGTTATGTAATTTGGCATTAAATTTAAACTAGTTAAGGAGGATATGGCGTGCGGAGGTGGGATGAAGGGCGGTGTGATCAATGGATGATAGGGCTAGGATTGAAGGGTTGTTGGAATTGAAGATTGCTATTAATTGAGAATTACTAGCAGGAATGAGTGAAAAGATAGGAAGTCAGAGACACAAATTCTTAAAAATCCAACCATGCAGTGCTTGAACCATTGATATTGCTAAGGATGGGTGGCTGAGACAGTGTCATGGAAAATATCACTGAAGGCGAATAATTCAAGGAACTGACAGGCATGAATGTTAAAATGGACATCTGTGTGGATTTTGAAATCAGTAATTCAAATAGGGGTAGTGTTGATAAGAGTAACAGTAAACCAAGCCAAGCTTCTCCAAAAATGAGGAAAATTGATCTGAAAGTTAGTAGGTGACTGCAATAAAAAAGGGTGGAGGGCGGTAGAGTCTCCTGAGGTGAGATTCAAAGCTGGGGAGGGAGGAGCTTAGAAAGAAAAGAAAGCAAGCCAAGAGTCTGGAAGGGTCAGTGAGTGTCAAGAGGACACACAGCCTCCATCCAAGCTCACTGAAGTCTACAAACGAAACAGTATTCAGGTTTTAGTTATGGCAAGGAAGTAAAGGGTCTGTTCAGAGAAAATACTGATGCTGAGTGGGAGTATGAAAGACTGAGTTCCAGGAGCACAGTGGAAGAGTGTCAGGAGTTCAGAGGTGGTGGAGAGGTGGGAGAACAAGACAAAATGGTGAATTCAAAAAGCCGTAAGGGAATTCCAATGCAGCGGACCAATGGAAACGGGAACTTGGGACTTCTTGTGTTGGTGACATAAATGGATAAAGAGCATAGTGAGACCAGTTCGATAGCAGTGCTATGAGTGATAGGAAATGGGAAGGGGTGTTTGGGGCTAAGGAGGGGCAGTCTAACACCAAGCGCACTGGACTCATTTTTTTTTCAGATGATGCCAATTTAAAAATGCTTTGTTCCCTGACACAAACTGCACTTTCCACTTACTCACTATATGGGTGAAGTACAACTGTATTCTGTTCCCCTATGTGTGTGCAGGTATTCACAATGTCATATTAAATAGCAGCTAAAATATGGTTTGAAAGCAAGAAAACTCAAGAAAACTGCCACTGAGCTGATTTCCCATAAATCCGAATTCTCCAGGTGTCATGTGAGGAGTTCATGGTCAGACTCATGTTGCGCGTTGGCTGGCTCGGTCTGCTGCCGTCGGAGTCACAGTTCCAGGAAAGGCCCGTCCGGAGGAGGCGCAGCCACATCCAGGGCAGCCCCTCGCCAACCACAGAGCGGGCTGCCTGCTCTGGGCCACTGGGATGCTGGTGCGGTGTGGGGTCTTTCTGCCGATGTTAGAGTCTTCCTCTTCAGTCATCTGAGTCTTGACTCGCCAAGGGGTGATTCCATGGCACTTGTCAAGAGTCCGGTCTGTCTTCATTTTCACTGGACTCTGCCATTTCTCACGTGCCATCATGGCCTATTGACTCCATGCTATCAGAGCAGCTTCTTAGGGGATATTTTGCCTCTGTTTTTCACCTTCAGCCTTGTACTTCAAAGCCTTTTTGACCATATGCTTAAACACCACGTCATTGGTCTTTAAATCTGCTTATCTGTTCCTGATCTCGTGTTTGCAGATAGCACATCCGAGATGCTGTTGACAACAATATCAAAAGTTACCTTAATCTAAGGAAGTCCAGAGGGTGCTGGAGGGATGCCTTTAAGTTCAAGTATGCCAAGCTAGGCCAGGCACAGTGGCTCACACCTGTAAGCCCAGCACTTTGGGAGCCTGAAGCAAGAGGATTGGTTGAGGTCGGAATTCGAGAACAGCCTAGGCAACATAACGAGATCTTGTCTCTGCAAGAAATAAAATAAATTAGCTGGGCTTGGTGACAGTGCCTGTAGGGAGGCTGCGGCAGGAAGATCACTTGAGCCCAGGAGGCCGAGACTGCAGTGAGCTGTGATTGGGCCTTTGCACTCTAGCCTGGGCAACAGAGTATGACACCCCAACTCAGAAAGAAAAATACTTTTAACAATTTTAAAAAGCTTGTTGTTCTCAGAAGCAGACCTTGAACAATGATCATAATACTATAAAAAAGGGATTGGCAGTAGTGGGAAACTGCTAGGGGTGGGGGGCATACCTCATCAACAAGGGTACCTGCATAAAGAACATGTATATACCTGATCCTGCATTGTACCCCACATCTTTACAGTAAAAAAATTTTAAAAATAAAAAATTTTAAATAAATAGATAAATAAAAAGCTTGTTGTTACCCATCATCATTGCTCATTCAATTTAAAAACCTGAATGAACAAATCGAACTGGCCGTCAGAGGAGAGAGATGATAGGGGTCCGAGGCTGCTGACTATGAACAGTTGTACAGCACGTGGTCGGAACAGCTGTGCCTCCACCAGTGGTTTCAGAACCAAAGGAACCAAAGGAAAAGGAGTGATGCTAGAGAGCGGCAGATCCTGAACGTCTTCCAATCTCTACCCAAGGGGCAAGATGGCTGCCTACTAGCTGCAAACACAACTGACCTCCTTATCAGGGTGGTTTTTTGTTGTTTCCAATTCCTTTTTGTTGAGAAAGTCCTGCAGGATTTTCTCGGTTTCTGAAGCTTGGAGATAAAAGTAGAGCCACCAACCAGGCTGATGCCATGGGCCTGAGACTTGTCTACCATGATATGATTAAAGGGTTTTAATGGGTGGGGGGGTTTAATAAAAACCTTTTTCTTGGTGGACAAATTGAGTTAACTTTCTAGCTCTTTAATTCTGGAAACTTGGTAAAGGTGGCATATCAGCTGTGTTTCCAGGCAACATTACTTATGGTAAAAATAACATCTATTAATAAATAGTGTCTGATTTAGAAGGTCGATAGTAAACTATTAGTATCTGGTGGAAAGTCATAGCTTTGGGCTTCCTCGAGTGTATTAAGTTCTTGCACCTGGTCATATTCCTTGCTGGGGCTCTGGCTCCCAAAGGACTGCTACTAGAAATAAGGGCTTCTGCAGGGCACGAGGCTGTACTGTGGTCTGAATGTTTGTGTCACCCCCCAAACTGATATGTTTAAGTCCTTATCCCAAGGTGATGAGATTAAGAGGCAGGGCCTTTGGGAGATAATTGATCATGAGGGAAGAGACCTCAGGAATGCATTAGTGTTTTAAAAGAAGCCCCAAATAGCTGCCTTGCCCTTTCCACCAAGTGAAGAAAGAGCAGGAAGGCACCATTCATAGAATGGTAGGTCTTCACTGGACATCAGGTCTGCTGGTGCCTCAATCTTAGACTTCCCAGCCTCCAAAACTGTGACAAATTCCCGTTGTTTAGAAGCTACCCAGTCTATGGTATTCTGTAATAGCAACCTGAATGGACTAAGGTTTTTAAGCCCAGTGGCACCCACTGCCTGGTCTCACTCCCACATGAGCTATCCTCAAGGGGAACAGGGAATAGGGTAAATCCTAGACTGCTGCATGGTTTGCTGTGAGGAGTCTGCTGAAGAAACTCACCTGATGCTGCCATGCATCTAAGTGAACTGATGCTAAGTGTGGCCTGTCAGGGTCTCATGAGCTTGATTGTCTCTAGCAGGTCTTCTCCAACCAAGTAAGAGTCCCTTAGCTACACATTTAAGCAAAGATAAATTATGCAAAGATGAATTGTCCCTTGTCAGTAAAGACAGCGTAGCCTTGAGGTGGTCCCATGTCCAGAGCACCGGCGGTCACTTCCACGTTCCTCTGCTAAAAGGCACCTACATGGGATTGGAGGATGACAGGACCGGTGCTCTGTGATATGCTTGCTGGGAAGGATGGGTCTGGCTTGTAGGAGACAGGTTAGACACTGGAGCTGCTGCTGTATTCCTGGGCTCACTTGGGTTTTTTTCCCAGATGAAGGTTAGAGTACTGGGAAGAAACTTCAAAGGTATTTTTTCTATTTTCCCGTTACCTCAGGGATTGAGTCTTCTGTTTAATTTTGTGTCTCTCTTTTAGACTTTGGGATTCTTAATTGCTCTTATTATAAGTGAAAGTGTAGATTGAATATGTTTGGTAGCTGGAATGTATATTTTTAGTTCATGTGAGAATTTCTGTCCATCTGTCAGAGAAAGCCAGTGCCTTGCCTGTGAGTTAGCTGGGGCACCACTGCACTTCCAGGTGCTCACTCTGGGACCTGGCTTATCAAAACCCTCATTGCAGAAAGCTGAACTCAGGTGCTAGCCTTGGTAACACATAGGGAGATTATCACGCTAAGGGCAATTGAGGGGGCATTAACCCAGACATTCCAGCATTCTTTAAATAATTTTCTGAATGATCACTTACACTCGCTACTCTCAGCCTTTGTTTTCTTAGATCAGGTATTGACCTAGAGGTATTTCTGATAAGTTATTATTTGCAGTCAGAGGTGTAGGGTCCTCTCTATGGGTCATAGTTACGCCTCTTGGCTTTTCAGCATTGAGATAGATTTATTTTAATTTCTTCTTTCTCCTGAAATTCCTGTGGAATTCTCCTGACATTATCTGTGGATTTGGAGAGGACAGAAATCAAGCACTGGAGAACATTAAAAGCACTGTGTATATTTAGGGCACCACTGCAATCATGGATAGCAGGGGCTCCCAGGCTCAGCTCACTGGGAAGGGGCCCTGGGTCTCAACATCCCAGCAACAGGAAATGCAGGTTCCAATTTCTTCGATCCCATGATGTGCCCATAAACATGAAGTAACTTGGGTGCGAAAGATAAAAAGTTGGGTGGCTTTCATTAATTAGGATTTAGGGATAAAAGAAAATATAGTTTTGTAATTATCTCTCCTTTGCTTTTCTCTAGATCAGGACAGTCAAACCCAACTTTTTATCTCCAGAAGGGCTTTCAAGCATATGTGCTCAGGAAAAAACCACCGGGTTCACTTCTTCCTAAAGCACATAAGGTATAGTATACAAAAGTAATGGTAAATTATTTGTTGACAACTAAGTGCTTTTTATTACACACAAAACCAATTTAAGTTGCTTTTTAAAGTCATCATATGATTACTAAACAGTTGAATGTGCATTTTATTTCTAATTAAAATTTCACTTGAAATGTATTCTTTTTGTTGTTAAAAAGGACTTGGAGTTGAAATCAAGGGCTATTTGGGGAATACATCTTGAGCAACACCCAGTCCTCTTGTGGATTTGATTCTTCCCTTACATATTTGGCTAGAAGTACAATATTTGTGGTACTACTCATTTAAGGATGCTTAGTTTTTGTTATATCTCTTTAACTTTCGCTTACTTTACTTTATCGTTTAGTTTTAAAGATGTGGGCCACAAGTCAGGATTAGGTGCATAAGTGGTCATCGGCCAGGTGAAGTGTAGGCCTCCCGTTGTGCTCACTTTGCCTGGTTTGGGATCAGAGCTCCTTATCAACGTTATGTGTTCCTCTCCTTCCCTGGCAGTGTCCTGCTACTGCTAACCCTTTCATGATAAATGTTCAGGGTCCACCTAGGAGTGGGAACACATGGTACTCAGCTTTTTGTTTCCATGATAGGTCACCCAAGTTGCTGCAAAGTTCATCATTTTGTCCTTTTTGCATAATGTTTTGTCATGTATATGTACCACATTTTTTCATCCAGTCCTCTTTTGGTGGGCAGCACGGTTGGCTCCATGTTCTTGCTACTGTGAACAATGCTGCAATAAACATGCGTGTGCAGGCATCTTTTTCATCGAGTGATTTGAGTTCCTCCGGGTATATTCCCAGCAGGGGCATGGTGGGGTCATATGGGAGGTCGAGTTTTAGATCTTTTAGGAATCGCCACACTGTTTTCCACAGAGGCTGTACTAGTTTACACTCCCACCAACAGCATTCCCTTTTCTCCACATCCTGTTATATATTTAAATTATTATGTCCAATAACAGCATCTACTTGTTGAACTATTTTAATATATTTGCTGTGCCAGTCTTCTATCTTTTGGTGATAAAAATAAGGATGTGAATTAGGCATTTTATAGTATTCTCTAAATATTAGACTTATCAGTAAAAATTATAAAATATTTTTAGCTAAAACCTGAGTTTTCTGCTTTCAGAAAACAGACATTATCTGTGGATTTGGAGAGGACAGAAATCAAGCACTGGAGAACATTAAAAGCACTGTGTATATTTAGGGCACCACTGCAATCATGGATAGCAGGGGCTCCCAGGCTCAGCTCACTGGGAAGGGGCCCTGGGTCTCAACATCCCAGCAACAGGAAATGCAGGTTCCAATTTCTTCGATCCCATGATGTGCCCATAAACATGAAGTAACTTGGGTGCGAAAGATAAAAAGTTGGGTGGCTTTCATTAAAGTTCAACATGACAGAGCTGAGGGAGGATTCCCACCCCTGCCCAGGAATCTATGCCCCAGTAAACAGCTCTGTTTAGCTCTCTCCTTGGTAGCATCCAATCAGAACACATCAGAACATAACATTCTGCTCTCAGCGCATGTACAGCTCCCAGAATCTGAAGCACTTTGTTTCAACTCCCTTCGTTTTTCCCAAGTCTGCCTTGAAATAAGCAATGCTTCTACTCTGCCATCCACTTTTTTGCCTCCTTAAGCCTTTTGTCCTCTTCCCCAATCACCCCCGCCACACACACACACACACACTCATTTCCCAACACCAGAATCGTTATAAACACTTCTTTCCACATCCCTTGGCGCCACTGGCTACTCTCACCTTGGACATGGGTTTAGTTACTTAGGAAAGCAGCTCCTTTACTCCCTGATGTCAAAATGAGCTGCATGGTTTCCCCTCCTTAGAATGGTCAGCCACTATTGCCTGAGTCTGGGCAACGGAACTTTACATGCAAATAAGTCATCCTTACGTGGTCTGCATCACAGCTCTGCTGTAAGTTGTGCCCTTGGGTCGTGCCCACACATAGGTCCTGATTTCTTCTCCCTGTCTTATTTGGGCTACTACCTCAGTACCCATTTGCTTCTAGCAGCCTACATCTCAGTAGTCGTCTTGAGCTTCCTGCCAGCCCAGGAACCAGGAAGGATCCCCCTACCTCTAACTTGGAAGCAGGTGCCTCCTTTGAGCTCCAGAAGGGGCAGGAGCTTCTTCCTCTCACCACCACCCACCCGCCTCCCTCAGCTCCCTGTGGTAGAGCATCAGAATTGAGACCTACCTGAGCTCCCATGGGAGATTTGAAAGAATGAGAGCAAGCCAGTGAGTAGGGAGCTGCTGAGAACAAAGAGATGTTTTATGATTAAATCCGAAATACTGTGGTCAGGAACTATTGCCTTTACATGACCACAGCCAGATTAAGCCCCATGCAGGTGCCCATCTTTTTATCCTAATTGCTGGTCTAGTTTCAAATTTAATTTTAAATTTCTGTGTCTCTGATTTTTAATAACCCATCATCCTATTTAGATTGATAGAGAGTTTAAAGTCCAGAAAGCCTTATTTTCGATTGGATTCCCCGTTCCCAAACCTATACTGTACTGTGATGATGCTTCTGTCATTGGAACAGAATTTTACGTGATGGAACATGTGGAGGTAAGGTAACATTTAATCTGATTTTAATTATGAAGTTAATTATAATGTTTTATTAGATGAAGCATTATATTCGTAAATTATCTAGTTTTTATTTGCCATCTTATGTAATTAGTTTGCTTTGCAAGGGTATAACTTGTTTTTTTAATTTGAGCATACACAATGAGAAAACAATAGAATAAATGAGGAACACATTTAGTAAGTAGGTATATTGACTCTTTCTTAAATTTTCCTCTAGGTGTCAGTAAAGAGCTATATGTAATGACAATAATGGAATTATCCATAAAGGCAGCAGGGAAACCCCACTTTGCATAGAGGATCAAACCATTGACAGCAATAAGATCAAATTGTTCTTTAATTTTCTTTTTCGAAAATATAAGTTGAGAGTAGTTTTAGATTTTATGTTCATTTTGGCATATCCTTGTATTTTCCCTTTGGCATGTGTACTCCGATATTAAACATGTTTCACAAATGAATGTTTTTCTAGCATATTCTATAAAGTATTGATTTTGGTTACAAAAATTTACATTATCTGTAATCACTTCCAAAGGGTCGAATCTTTCGTGATTTCACAATTACTGGCGTTAGCCCAGCAGAACGCTCAGCCATATATGTGGCCATGATAGAGACCTTGGCTCGATTACATTCCTTGAACATACAGTCATTGCAGCTGGAAGGATATGGTACAGGTACTGGATACTGCAAAAGACAGGTAATGCATCCCTATAAAGAGCTACTTTTTCCATTTCTTGGAAATAATACACATTACTAATCAAAATAAAAACAAAATTGGCTATGGCTTTTAACATTATTCTTCAGATTGACTTATTTTTAGCATAAAATGATGTTACATTTTTAGATCAGGTTTTTCCCAGCAACGTTTTCTGTTTCAGACTCTACTTAATTTACCAATACCTTTTCTAACTTAAGCTTGCAGACATTTATTTTTTATTTATTTATTACTTTTTTTATTTTAAAGATGTGGGGTACAATTCAGGGTTAGGTATACAAATGTTCATTATGCAGGAACCGTTGTTGATGAGGTGCACCCCTCCCTCCCCTGGCAGTTTCCCTCAACTGCCAATCCCACCCCTCCTCACCTGACTGTTTCCCACTACTGCCAATCCCTTTCTTATAGCATTATAATTGTTCTAGGTCCATTTATGAGTGAGAACATATGGTACTCTGTTCTTTGTTTCTGTGATAGAACACCGAGTATGATCGACTCTAAATCCATCCAAGTTGCTGCGAAGTCCATGTTTGTCCTTCTTCGTGACTGTATAATAAATATTCCATTGTGCATATGTACTACATTTTTTTAACCAGTCCAGCTTCGATGGGCAGCATGGTTGGTTCCATGTCTTTGCTATTGTGAATAGAGCTGCAACAAACTTGCATGTGCAGGTATCTTTTTTGTAGAATGATTTGAGTTCCTCCTGGTATATTCCCAATAGGGGGATTGTTGGGTCATATGGAAAGTCAATTTCTAGTTCTTTGAGAAATCGCCACACTGTCTTCCAAAGAGGTTGCATGAATTTGCATTCCCACCAGCAGTATAGAAGTGTTCCCCCC